ATTGCAGAGGGAGGTACCGAGCTCGGGCACTTGGAGACCATGGCGCGATCTAGAAACCGGACGGGTCCCTGGGAGCCGTACCCTCACAACCCGCTCTTGTCGAACAAGGGCACCTCGGAGTACTTCCAGACGGTGGGCCATGCGGACTTGTTCCATGATGGGAATGGCAACTGGTGGGCCGTGGCGTTGAGCACCCGGTCAGGACCTGAATGGAAGAACTATCCCATGGGTCGGGAGACGGTGCTCACCCCTGCGGCTTGGAAGCAGGGTGAATGGCCTGTCATCCAGCCTGTGAGAGGCCAGATGCAGGGGCCGTTTCCACGACCGAACAAGCAACTTCCTCGCGGGGAGGGCGGATGGATCAAGCAACCCGACAAGGTTGATTTCAGGCCCGGATCGAAGATCCCGGCGCACTTCCAGTACTGGCGGTATCCCAAGACACAGGATTTTACCGTTTCCCCTCGCGGCCACCCGAATACTCTTCGGCTGACACCATCCTTCTACAATCTCACCGGAACTGCAGACTTCAAGCCGCATGATGGCCTGTCACTCGTTATGCGCAGACAGACCGACACCTTGTTCACGTACACCGTGGACGTGTCTTTTGACCCCAAAGTTGCCGACGAAGAGGCGGGTGTTATTGTTTTCCTTACACAGCAGCAGCACATCGATCTTGGTATTGTCCTTCTCCAGACAACCGACGGGCTGTCGTTGTCCTTCCGGTTCCGCGTTGAAGGCCGTGGCAATTATGAAGGTCCTCTTCCGGAAGCCACTGTCCCTGTTCCCAAGGAATGGCAGGGAGAGACCATCCGGCTTGAGATCCAGGCCGTGAGTGACACCGAGCATGTCTTTGCGGCTGCTCCGGCTCGGCAACCTGCGCAGAAGAAGGTCATCGGCCGTGCCAACACACTGATTGTCAGTGGTGATACAGGACGGTTTACTGGTAAGTGTAGCCTCGAAATACTCGAGCAAGTGTTATCGCTGAGTAGTGACAATTTTGATATAGGCTCGCTTGTTGGCGCGTATGCCACGACGAACGGTGGCGCCGGGTCCACGTCAGCATATATCAGCAGATGGAGATACGAAGGACAGGGCCAGATGATTGGTTTTGGTCGTGTTGTTCCGAGCTATTGATACGCCCTTGACATACTGTTGGAGGTTTTGAGACGGTTTGCGCAGTATTCCAGATTGATGTGGGAACTATATATAGAGCAGTGCGACCAGAATCAAGATATAGTGCCCGGGCTTGTGAGAGCCTGGTTTAGGATCTTCGGTGAAGAAGATACCCTGCATTCTTGTTCATTGTATCTCATATCAAGAGCAATCGTGATCATGAAATCCATGTCAGTACCAGTACTATGACTTCCTGTGCCGCGCACCACAAATGAGGATATCCTATAATCCAGTCGCACCAATATAGTCAAAAGACTCAACGCTTTTTAGGATTTCGAGGTATCTGCGCCTGTCTCTGTCTTTCTTCATCACTGACATCGTCCAGATTAGTCTCTACCTGATCCAACGCAGCCTTGATCTCCTCTTCCTTATTCTCATGCCCTGCTGTGGCCACCGTCAGAATCTCCTTCTCCAACCCATTGACAACTCGCCACTGAATCCCCGCCGCAGTCAACATCTTACACCCCTCCGACTCCCCAACAAACGTCCCAGGCTCCTTAACCCCAAAATACACCTTCTCAATCCCCGGCCGCCCTCCCTCACGCGTGCTGATGATCCGCTGCACACACGGCACATTCCCCGACAGTCGCTTTCCGCACGGTTCCATCGTCACGTACATGACTAGTTTCCGGCCGGGTTCGGAGGGGAGGACCTCTGCGACTTTGTCCTCGGGGACGGAGTGGACGGCCGCGTAGTTGGAGAGACAGCATTGCTCGGCGTGTGTGTTGCCGGCTAGCTCCATTGTGTAGCCTGTCGAGAGGATGCGATCATCTTTGAATTCGAGGTCGCCGTCTTTGCGGGAGATGAGGATCGCGCCGACGCGGAAGTTGGTCGGGCGTGGAGGCGACCGTTCTGCTAGGGAGAGGCATTGGCGGAGGTAGTTGAGGTGGGGGGATGCGGTCATTTCGCGGGTGGCTGTGAGAAAAGCTAGTGAGGTGAAGTTTCACAAGAAGGTAGAATTGTAGGTGATTGTATAATGACCAGCAGAAATAATGAACAGCTGCTGGTGATGGTTGAATTACACACTGTCGGCTCTGTGGAGGAGCTCTCCAGACAGTGAAGCTATGACGAAGGGTGATAAAGCTATCCCCAGCCTAACCCGATACGGTAATCAAAGTGGTTTTGCATCGCGTCTGAATCGCGTTTCCTCAACCATCTCGCACATATCAAAGCAAACCAGCTGCTTGACTCACCTTTCATCTGTTTCTCATCGGTTTTTGGGGGGTCGTTTGGAGACTCTACCACCATTTTGGGCCATACCTTGCCAGCCTTTCTTTCCATCTCTTTCTCCTACGTCTACTACCGTAAACATGCCTTCTGATTCCGAGGATGTGTTCGAAGAGAATCACGACGAAGGAACCACCTCCGACGAAGATGACGGACCGTCTGGCCCTCCAGTTGCAACCGACCTCTACGAGGTTCTCGGTGTCAAAGAGGATGCGACTCAGGACGAGATCAAGTCCGCCTACCGGAAGCTGGCCTTGAAGCATCACCCAGGTAATTCCCTTGAGATTTCTGCACAAACACAACCAGTGATTATTGAATTGTGTTACTGATTAAATCGACAAAGACAAGGCTCCTGCCGACCAGAAAGATCAAGCGCATTCCAAGTTTCAGCAGATTGCCTTCGCTTATGCGATCTTGTCGGACGAAAAGCGCCGCAGGCGGTTCGATCGCACCGGCAGCACTGCGGAAGCGGCCGTCGGCGACGAAGATTTCGATTGGGCAGAATTTTACAGGGACCTGTACTCGAACTCGGTCGATACGGATGCGATTGACAAAATAAAGGAGGAGTATCAGGACTCTGCAGAAGAAGAGAAGGATATCCTGGAGGCATTCGACCGCCACAGAGGCGACATGGACCGCGTCTACGAGTCGGTGATGCTGAGCAATGTGCTCGATGACGATGAGCGATTCCGCGCCATTATTGACAAGGCTATTGCCGAAGGCAGGGTGGAGGGTTACAAGAAGTACACAGATGAGCCGGCAAAGAAGCGCCAGGCGAGAATCAAGCGGGCGCAGCAGGAAGCAAAGGAAGCTGAGGAGTTGGCCAAGGAGCTGGAGGAGAAGAAGAAAACAAAGACAGAAGTCAAGGAAAAGACACCGACGACGACGACGAAGAAGAAGAAGACCAAGACGACGGACATCTCTGATCTTGGTGATCTCGCGGCAGCTATCAAACAGCGACAAGCCAATCGCATGGAATCGCTCATGGAAAAATGGCAGACAGAGGCGCAGACGCTCAAGGAAGGCGACGGCAAGCGCAAGAAACGGAAGACTCTTTTCGAGGAGCCGCCCGAGGAAGCATTTGCTGCCACCGCGGCTCGTCGGGCTTCCAAGAAGACGAAGAAGTCGAAAGCGTGAGCGGTCCACTTGGGATCTCCCCTTTTTATTTTTTTTGTCTTTTTTCGACCGGCGTCGGGAGTCTTTGGTACTTGGCAGGTCTCTACATGAACCCTTGGAAGAAGGTGGACACCTTATGGAAGGATTGCACATCATATTGCATATCATATTTTGAGCGAACTGAGGGTAACCTGGTGTTTCTATGATGCACCTTGCTAAGAATAGCAGGGTATTACATATGTAGCAGAATACAATGCCAGATCATCATTGTCATGATCACCACGGAGTATCGCCATCAATATTAGCATACCCGGTATTTGCTTTTTATCAGGCGCCCCTTGATTGCTCCTGTATGTATGTATGGTTGATCATTTTCGATCCGCATTCAGCATGTGATGCATTATTAGCGGCAATCTCCCAGCCTCAAATGGCTACACAGACAGGCCAGATAAATCCTATGCTCACCGTATGCTTTCTATGCTTTCAAGGACATAGCATTGATTCAATCTGAGGCGATATGATATAGACAAATCCCTCTGCATATTGTGGCGGTAATTGACTATTTATTATTACCCGCTTGGAATGAAGGCTTCACAAGACTTCACCAAAACAATGGATCGTCTTCTCCATGATCACCAAGCCTTGGTGACATCATGCAAGGGATATCTGTAGAATGAAGATGATGAGAACCCTGGATCTCCTCTCTTCTCTGTTCTACTGAAGGGCAGAGCAATAATTGCCTCAGTCTCATGTGCTTTGTACATGATGCCCCGCTATGCCGAGCCTTTTGGACGTTGTGCCCGACAGTGTGTGACAGCGGGCAGAACCTTTTGTGTTCCTCCCTATTTCTCTAGGCAGCCCCTTTTCTGTATCATTCATGACCCCTGTAAGCCTCTCATCTTTTCCATCTCATAAACCACATTGTTTGTGTTCAATCTATCTCGACCTATCCAAGCCTCGGTGCGGTTGTTGTCTGTGGCGCTTTTCGACTCCCTCTCTTGGCGTTTTGCGGAGAAAGCCGTGGGTGATTCCTACCGCGTTTGTGACGGACAAAGATATCTATCCTCTTTCGAACTGCAGCTCGTTTTCGCAAATTCCTCTTGCGAGTCTCTGCAGTCTTCTCGTTGTCCATACCTATTCTCGAGTCCGAGAGGCGTAGGAAACATCGCCTCTTGTCTACAGCACCCTTCCGTGTTGTGGTTTCTGCCGGACCAGAGCATTGTCAGCCGAGCAACTACACTTGCTGGCCTGTCAAGGTCTCAGCCTTCAGACTTCTGGGCTGAAAAAGGCAGCGAGCTTCTGGTCCTGAATGCGGAACTCGAATACGTATACATCAGCCAGAAAGGCGAAACTAACGAATCATCGTTGACTGGTCGATCTCTCTCCACATTCCACGACGCTTGGCCAAGTCTTGCAAACAATAAAGCATATTATCAATTATCTAACCTGGGACCGTCAAACCGCCGCGGGCGGAACCACACAGAATGGCCGCATACAATAGTAGGGCATACAACAGCACGAAAAGACGAGCCAGGTCATCTCTGGCAGGTGCTCTGGAGTCGGAACGTCTTGAATGGGTCGAAGACGAGCGTCTCGAATCCGGCCCGTCGTCTAACCGAAGGCCCCCAGCCCAAGCGGCCCCATTGCGGAGCCAGCTCGACACTGCTCCATCTCCTGATATATTGCCTCCGCGCCATGGATCCATCGCCGGTATTGGGGTTGGTGTGACTTCTCCTTCTAATAATCGTCGCAGCTGGGCAGGTCCTGTTTCGGAATCTGCATCGCCGTCGGGCTCTGCTGCTCCAGGGACTGCAACATCGTACGCTTCTTTGAAGAGATTTCCCGGTGAATCAGAACCGTCACCAGCTCGCAGGGCTTCGGACAATTCGGATCAGATCTCGATCGGAAAGAAAAAATTTGTAGACCGAAATAAACTCGACAATAACGAGATGCCGGTGCTACCGAAGCGTACTATACAAATTCAGTTACCGGAGAAGCCTCCGAGGGAACCCAACCACCACAAGCAGAGCAAGAGCACCATGGCTGCGATGATGTCGGGATTTGACTTGAAAGTCAGCCTCCCAAGTTTTGCCAGAGGAAGGACGCCCGGACGACAGAGCTCGTCCCGGGGGGCGTCACTCGACTCTCGAGTTCCCCAACGACGTGCTCGGTCCGGCTCCCAGAATCGCTGGCTCGGCTCCAATCCGCTGAACCTTTCATCCTCAAAGCCGAGCAAGCCGGCGGCGCCCAAGGAAAAATCATCCCCCATGAACAACGCCCATCCCAATCACTCGGATTCCGCCCTTCCGCAGTCGGTCGGCACTGGCACCAGTGTGACCTCGCCCCCTAAGGAGAGCGAATCTCCAGAACCGGACATTAACACCGCTACATCATCCACTGGGGATGAGCGCTTGGCCAAAGATTTGTATGATAGCGAGAACAACCCAATGGACAGCAGCGAAGATGAACCCGATGAGTCGTCGTCGAGTGATGACGACAGCGATGGTGAGATCGAGCGTGGCCGAAAGAAGGCTCCGAATGCAAGCGATCAAGCGCCGCCTCTAGGGCAGGTAGACGGTGCTACGGATGAGCGTGTGTATTGCTTCATTGAGATCCCTATGGCTTCCGCATACTGACAGACATTTCATAGACGACCAAGTGATTGAGGAGAAGTTGAGAGCAACGTCTCTCTCAGATCAAAAGCCTACCCTGGTGCACTCTGCAAAGCAGGGCCCGCATATGCTTGATGTTCATCCTCGGACGAGCTTTGATCCTGGCTCCGGCCTCAGTACGCCATTTGGATCCGACGACGAAGCGGAATTGTCGGATATCAAGCGAGCGCAGAAACTCACCATGCAAATGTCCGCTATTGACACTTCCGTTCCCAACCGATCGATTAGAACCATCATTCGAGGCGATTACGCCCGACTACAGGAAGAGGGCGAGGGCGGACGTCGCCGGCAGCGCAAGTATCTAGTAGCCACTGACCTCAGCGAAGAGTCTGTTTACGCCCTGGAGTGGACAATCGGTACTATTCTCAGGGACGGAGACACCATGTTTGCTGTCTGTGCAGTAAACGAGGAGCTGAGCATTCCCTTCGCTCCGTCGGTACAGATCGGAGAGGGCGCCCAAGCAATGCAGGACTCAGCAGCCATTGTTGGTTCCCAGACGGAAGAAACTGTCTTTAAGTCGCAGAATGATTCGATCACCAGTAACTTGCCTCGTGCCTTGTTGGGTCGTCTAGGACAGGGTACGGACAGCAAACCAAGCTCTGTCGATGCCCGGGGTGTGCCCAAAGGCCAAGGAGAGAGAAACCGTGCGGTGGAGATTATTTCGCAGACCTGTGTCCGTTTGCTCAGAAAGACCCTTTTGCAAGTCCGAGTTGCCGTCGAGGTGATTCACTGCAAGAGCCCAAAACATATGATCACAGAGGCTGTACGTACCCGTCCTGGTGCTTATGAGTCCACGAACCCGGCGTGCCCAGATATACTGACCAGTCTACCGCTAGATTGACGGTCTCGAGCCTACGCTTGTTATTGTGGGAGCTAGGGGCCGAAGCGCTCTGAAAGGGTGAGTCGCTCGAGAGGACGAGTCTGCATCTATCGGAAGCTAATATAATGTTGCTTGAGCAGTGTTCTCCTTGGATCGTTCTCCAACTACTTGGTCATGAACTCATCTGTCCCGGTCATGGTGGCACGCAAGAAATTACGAAAGCAGACAAAGAACAAGAAGACAAATGTTCGCCTTTCCAACAATCTTGCAACACCAAAGAAGCTAGCTTTTGCCAAGGTCGATTAGAGTGCGACGAGTCTCATGGCTTCCCCAATCCTTTCTACGGTGGTGTCCTCATGGTGCCATAGTGCATGGCGGGCGTTTTTCTCATATTCTCATAATGATGACTTCTTTTTCTTGATGTGTATGATTATGATCTACTATCATGGGGGGCGAGCATGATTTTTCCATCTGCAATCTGCTCTTGCTGGCTATCTTTTTAGCTTGTTGTCTTTTGAGCATTACACTCTATTTGTGTCCCAACCTTTTATGTTGTCAGAGTATGAGGATACCATCGTACGCGGGCTGGCCCTTTGAATCAGAAAATTCTAATAATTAATGACAAGTATATCCTTCTCTCCAAGAAACTCCATTGTCCTACATAATTAAGCAACAGTCGAAAGAGATCATCCTGATGGAGCGGAGGATCATCACGTGCATGCGTCACCGCCAAGCTGGAGCTGCGGGCGTGGATCCCTCATCGATCAACTACGGACGACTACTTGGCCTCCTCGTCAGGAGCAGCTCTTCCAGACCTTTCATCCCCCTCTCTTATAGCTTCCTTTAGCTCTTTACGGTCGTCCGCCAGGGATCCTGCAGCCATGGCCGATTTCGTCGACCCGAGGATGACCAACATCAAGCCTCGCATCCGCTACAACACCATCGGAGGTATCAACGGTCCGCTGGTCTTCCTTGATAACGTACGTAATTGGCCTAGGGTCGCAGCGTTGACGCAAACCTGTCTGCACCATGAATGAAATGACATGCTGACATTGTCTGTGACAAGGTCAAATTTCCCCGCTACAATGAAATCGTCTCTTTGACTCTTCCCGACGGGACAGAGCGGTCGGGTCAGGTCCTTGAAGCTAGAGGTATGACTTTACTCCTGGCGTTTAGCAGGATACATATATCCCGTTCGTGACGGCTGATATCTGGGTCAAATGAATAGGCAACAGAGCAGTTGTACAGGTGCGAACCAACCCGATAATGCGAGGCTATGAAGCTCGGTTTTTGATATGCGGGGTGCTCATACGGTTTTGCGACTTACTATAGGTTTTCGAGGGTACTTCGGGCATCGATGTTAAAAAGGTAAAGATTTGGGCTCTGGACGATAGAAGTGGGATCAGCTGCTGACTGCCGTCGCGCTTAGACCAAAGTCGAGTTCACCGGCCACAGCTTGAAGCTCGGTGTGTCCGAGGACATGCTGGGTCGTGTCTTTGATGGATCAGGTCGTGCTATAGACAAGGGTCCCAAGGTTCTGGCGGAAGATTATCTGGATATCAACGGTCAACCTATTAACCCCTACTCGCGAGTATGTGTCCGACCCTCAGTCATGGGCAATGGCAGAGCTGCAGAGTCGTGAAGCTGATGCGTGGGAACTCCAGGTCTACCCCGAGGAAATGATCTCCACCGGTATCTCCGCCATCGATACGATGAACTCAATCGCCAGAGGTCAGAAGATTCCCATCTTCTCTGCGGCAGGTCTTCCACACAACGAGATTGCTGCTCAGATCTGTCGGCAGGCCGGTCTGGTCAAGAAGCCCACCAAGGACGTCCATGATGGGCATGAAGAGAATTTCTCGATTGTCTTCGCAGCTATGGGTGTGAACATGGAAACGGCCCGTTTCTTCACCCGGGATTTCGAGGAGAACGGCAGTATGGAGCGTGTCACTCTCTTCCTCAACTTGGCCAATGATCCTACGTACGTTTGCCTATGCTGCTTCGGTTGTCTGCCTTGCTTGGTTAACCATTCTCCAGAATCGAGCGTATCATTACTCCTCGTCTTGCCTTGACCACCGCCGAGTACTACGCATACCAGCTCGAGAAGCACGTCCTAGTTATCATGACTGATCTCTCGGCCTACTGTGATGCTCTTCGAGAGGTTTCCGCTGCCCGAGAAGAAGTGCCCGGTCGTCGTGGTTACCCCGGTTACATGTACACTGACTTGTCGACCATTTACGAGCGTGCCGGTCGTGTTGAGGGCCGTAACGGATCTATCACCCAGATTCCTATCCTTACCATGCCTAACGATGGTAAGCATATTCTTTTGCGTTCGCTTAGCAGTTTGTGCTGACTGTGTCCTTTCTAGATATCACCCACCCCATTCCCGACTTGACAGGTTATATTACAGAGGGACAGATCTTCGTCGATCGTCAACTGTACAACAAGGGCGTCAACCCGCCGATTAATGTCCTTCCTTCTCTATCACGTCTTATGAAGTCTGCCATTGGCGAGGGTCGTACCCGTAAAGACCACTCCGATGTGTCCAACCAGCTGTATGCCAAGTACGCTATTGGACGAGATGCCGGTCAGTTTTCCTTCACAGATCCCCAAGATTATTACTTGGACGGGCATTGACACTTCATTCACAGCCGCCATGAAAGCCGTCGTCGGTGAGGAAGCGCTTTCGTCAGAGGACAAGCTCTCCCTCGAGTTCCTGGAGAAGTTCGAGCGCACCTTCATCAGCCAAGGGCCCTACGAATCGCGGACCATCTTCGAGTCCCTCGATATCGCCTGGAACCTGCTCCGCATCTACCCCAAGGAACTGCTGAACCGTATCCCCAAGCGCACTCTGGACGAGTTCTACGCCCGCTCCGCACGCAAGCTGCCGGCCAAGGACACAAGAGACAACTCCGCGGAGAACGTGGGCGGTGCTCCTCTCATCGAGACCTAAATACTCTTCCATATAGCGTGCGTTATCGTTGTCCTTCTCGTTGCCGAGGTATGCGTGGCTCGTCCTCGCCAAGGGGAGGTGTGTTTTCAATTTTCTCTTTCTCCTAAATCTCGCCGTTTTCAGCTCGCGTCGTTAAGCTTTCGTTCTTAAGAGCTTGCATATACTCTATTTTCTGTTATGTAGTTGTATGTCGCACAGTATAAGTCAATCTCTTGGAAATAAGATATATCCGGATAGATTAAACATGTGTGGTTGGTACGAACTATTCAGTAGGCGCGGTTTCCATGGCCTCGGAGCGAATCAGCATGTAAAATCTATTTATTTGATCCAGCTTTTAGATACATGTGCAATTCCATGAGGAAAAGGCAACCCCGAAAGAGGGTGGTTCATCAGTGAGCTTTTCTCATGGCCGATGCTATATATAAACTACATCGTCCCTTTTTCCAAAGCAAACCGAAAGAAATATGAAGAAGATGGGAAAAAGGTCGTGCCAAAACGTCGCTCATAAGCAAGATAAGTGAAGGTTCACAGTGGGGAAAGCAGCTTAGAACCGCAGGTCCCAGCCGATCTGGGGACCCAGACGGGGTAGTTCGTCCGCGACGCTCTGGACGTCCTTGTCTCCTCTGCCGCTCAGGTTCAGGACGATGTCACCGGTCTTCATGGACTTGGCGAGTTCCATGGCGCCCCAGACGGCGTGCGAGGACTCCAGGGCGGGGATGATGCCCTCGGTCTGGGCGAGGGTGCGGAAGCCGATCAGGGCCTCGGCGTCGGTGGCTGCGATGAAGCAGGCGCGGTCGCTGTCCTTCCAGGAACTGAGTTCGGGCCCGACACCGGGGTAGTCCAGGCCGGCGGAGATGGAGTGGGTCTCGGAGATCTGGCCGTGCTCGTCCTGGAGGACGTAGGTGCGAACACCGTGCAGCACGCCCTTGCTGCCGCCGGTCAGGGTGGCCGAGTGTCTGCTCGTGTCGAGACCGTCGCCTCCGGCCTCGACGCCGACCAGCTTGACGCTGGTGTCCTTGGAGAAGGGGTAGAACATGCCGACGGCATTGCTGCCACCGCCGACACAAGCGACGACGGCATCGGGGAGTCTGCCGATGGCCTCCATCATCTGCTGCTTGGTTTCCTCACCGATGACGGACTGGAACGTACGCACGATGGTGGGGAAGGGGTGAGGTCCAATGGCGGAACCGATAATGTAGTGAGTGGTGTCCAGGTCAACAACCCAGGCACGAAGGGCCTCGTTGACGGCATCACGCAGGGTTCTGCTTCCGGCATCGACGGCCACGACCGAGGCTCCAAGAAGCTTCATCCGGAAGACGTTCAGGGCTTGACGGCGGACATCCTCAGCACCCATGTACACAACACACTTCATGCCAAACTTGGCACACACTGTGGCTGTGGCGACACCGTGTTGTCCAGCACCAGTTTCAGCGATGATTCTGGTCTTGCCGAGTCTCCGAGCGATGAGAATCTGACCGAGAGCGTTGTTGATTTTGTGGCTGCCAGTATGGTTGAGATCCTCACGCTTGAGCCAAATGTTGGCACCTCCCACATACTCAGTGAGGCGATTGGCGAGATGCAGGTTGCTGGGTCTTCCCATGTATGGGTAGTAAGAGCGGAACTCCTGCCAGAACTTGGGGTCATTCAGAGCCTCTTGGAAACCGCGCTCGAGTTCGGCCAAGCAATCCATGAGAGACTCAGGGACGTACTGTCCACCAAATTCACCGAAGCGTGATGGCTGAGCAGCAGGGTTACCAGTTCCATTGAGAGCGTCGATCTGGTCGGCCAATCCAGGACCCGCAGGAGTATCGGCCTCGGTAACAACATCGGTAGGCTGCGAGACAGCCGGTGCCTGAGCCTTCTCCACGGCCTCCAAGACGTTGATCTCACGAGTCAAGAGACCCTGAGCATCTCTCTCGAGCTTGCGGCCAGTGACACTCGACAAGTACTCCTCGGCGTGTTTAGCCGCCTGACCGGCAGGGGCCTGGCCCAAGACAGTGATAATCTGACTACCGATGACAACACCCTCAGCGAGTTCCTGCACATTCAAGAAGTGCTCACGAGTGCTGACACCGAAGCCCAGAGCAGCGGGCACGTTACCCGACCATTGGTGAACGCGCTTCAGAAGCTCGGGCAGATTCGAGCTCAGCTGTCCTGTCGCACCGGTGACACCCATTCTCGAAACGACGTAGATGAAAGAATCGGCGATCTTGCAGAGCAGCTTCATACGGGACTCGGAGGTGGCAGGGGCAATGAGCGGGACGTAAGACAGACTATGAGAGCAAGTTAGAATCATTCACCGGATTGAGGAACGAACCCGCGCCTGTCGGAGGCTCGAACATAGACGCAATACTTACCCATTGCTAGCACACAAATTTCTGAACCGCACCGCCTCTTCGGGAGGAAGATCGACCATGATGAACCCATTGACACCAGCCTCCTTGCAATCCTTGAGCATACGCTCCTCACCATATCGCAGGAGAGGGTTATAGTATCCCATCAGAAGCAGCGGGGCCTTGAGGCCTCTGCTTCTAGCTTGACGGACCATGCTCAGAACTGTGGTGACCGTGACGCCATTGGCCAGAGCCTGGGTGTTGGCCTTCTGAATGGTGGGGCCATCTGCGATGGGATCTGTGAAGGGAATACCCAGTTCGATGATATCTGTTGAGATTCAACGGATTGCATTAGCATTGAGTCTTCATGGTCAGGGAGGCGAATATGAGAGTGTCCGGCGGGGTAAGGAACCGTACCTGCGCCTCCATTCTCTAGCCCAAGGAGAATGTCAACGGTCTCCTCGACGGTGGGATAGCCAGCTGTGATGTATGCTACGAGAGCTGCGCGCTTCTGCTCTTTGCACCTGGCAAAAGTGCTCTTGATGCCTTCCATGGTGTGTGAAAATGGGCGCGGGGAACTGCTCAATGCGAGGGGCGAATTTTAGAGTTTGACGAGTGTCACGGATCAAAGGAATTGACAGTAGGGAGGGAGTGGAGAAAGTATGTTAAGAGAGAGTGAATTGAAGGGGGTATGGAGATACAGATATTGGGAGGAAATGGATTGAAGGGAGAAGAGGCCAGGGTCACACAGCGTCAGTCTCACTTTCAAGCTGTTCTGTTCCTGGTTGACTCACTCACTCTTTTCTCTTCTTATGCGCCGATGGCCCGCCGATCAGGTGACTCGCCGATAAGATAAGACACTCGTGAGGGACTCGTATTCCGGTTACCATACCGTACACTTGTGGATTGCCTTAGCAAAACCACAGCATCCTGAGGCATCTGATCCCCATTTTGCACCAAATAAGCCGAAAAAAAAACAATTAAAGGATTTTCAGTATCCTTCTTGGATAGCTATAACTAAGACAATCAACGAAGAAGAACTAATTACCAGAACCGAAAAAGCAGAATGTCCCAGACGCCTAGCTATGCATATAAGCTGGACAATCAAGGTGCCAATATCGGCCTCAAGATGCACGCAAAACCAAGCAAGGACGTGTATGCCGAATGCCTGTATATTCAACCGGATGCCCAAATACACAGAGCGGCGGCGGATAAAAAAAAAAGAACAATCCAACCTGACTAAACCCACGAGATCCTTGTGTCCCTTCGCCAGAGCTGTCCATTATTAGATCCGTCCTCAAAAAAAAACACGATTCTTTTCAGACCTGCGAAATGCAAAAGGAACGACTGCAGCGCCATGCAATGCCATATAATGTACAACCTTCGCAAGGAGTGGAATCATAATGCCCGCACAAGCTCCCAAAACAGAAAAAGGAATGTACAACACACCGTCTAACGTATGCCATGTCAGAAGCTCAGAGAATCAACAGAGAACAAGAACATTTCCGGGCATTAAGACATCAAGGTATTCAAGGAGAGACATGAGATCATTGCGAGTGATCATAACCAAGCGCCGTGGCTAATTCCAAAGGAGTGACGAGAAGAGAGACCGGGGACAAGACCGCCGCGCATAAGAATAGCACGAAAGCAACCGAAACCGAATAAACAGACCAAAACGCCGGTAAATGCAATGGGGAGAAGGGGTATAAGGGACCCCTATATGCTCCAGTGACCAAGTATCATGGAACGATAGTGCCAGACAAGGTGGAGAATCAACACCCGTGGGAAGGATCGGGTAACGAGTAAGGCAAAGGAGCTAGATAGCTATAACTGGGGGCCGCACTTGCCGAAGGGTGATGGGCAAGACTGTTGGGATCCCATGACGGCCGACTGACAGGAGCTGAGAGTTGGCCCTGCTGCTGGCAGACAGCGGGATATGCGTATCCCGGTGCCATACTATGATACGGTTGAGTGACAGCAGGTAGCACAGCTCGCAGTTCAGATGTTCCCCTCATTGGGGGACCCGAGGAACCAGCGGGCGGAGAGTAGGCTGGTGTTGCAATGCTATGACAGTAGCTGCTGGACGGAGCAGCGTCTGAAACCGACTGGGGAGAAGCTGCAGCGTACGGCTCCGTTCCCGAATCCGACGCTGCTCCGTTGCCAGCAAAGGTGGAACTGATTGGCGTTGGCAGCGCCCCAGCGGTTGATGAGTAACTTGCAGACTAAGGCCACCCTGCGTTAGTGGATGACTTCATGGCCGAGGGAATTCTGAAGGAAGTACTTACGTATTTGCCAATGATCTTCTTGAGTGCATGGCTGAGGATTTTCCAAGGGAAGACTTTCACATCCTTCTCAATGTTTCGAGGTTTGGGGGCGGGGAACCCCATGATAACTTTGAAGAAGTCTTCACTATCTGCTTTGGCTTTGGAGACGGTGAGGGGTCGGAAGCCCTCCAAATTCCTGCGGATTCGATTCTTCTCCTCCACCGTGAAACGGACACCGACGAGGGATTCGAGAAGGTAGATGGTGTCCACGCTTGTGACGAAGCATTCGTCTTTGCCTTCCCAGTAGATGCAGCTGATACAAATACTGTTGGGGGCGCGCTCATCCGGGGAGACAGGCTTGAAGTCGGCGTGGATCGTGCTTCCGTTCTGCATGCGAGTGAATTGAACCAGACGCCGCTTGGCCTCGCGCTCTTCCTTTGTCCACCCCTCCGTCATAGAGTCCAGGTCCCCGTTCAGTTTGAGGACGGCTTTTGATGGGTACATAGCATACGGATTGAATGATTGCGCGTGCCCTAACCCATTCGCCTGCTGCAAGGTCGACGTCCGAATAAGAGTTGGATTAGCTGGCCTTGCCGGAGAGGATGACTTGTGTTGACGCAAGCTGTGAGCGATCGCGTAGGCAGGGGCTCTTGAATCGCCAGTCACATTGACAATCGACGGGCTCCATGAAGGAGTGAGCGGAGAAGGTGCACGAATGGACGAGTGTGGTGCGGTTGATCCAGCAGAATATTGCGTAGGCGCAACCCTGGGGGAAGCATTCGCATGGTATGGAGGCAAGAATCCGTTCATCCCGGGGAGCGTCTGCAAGTAGGGTGAGTAGGTCGTACGACCATCTTCATATCCCGGCTGTCCCGGAGCCCGTCTGATTGGCCTGTAAGTGACATTCTCCGAGTAGGAAGAAATCCTCCTCTTGCGCGATTCATCGGAGGGTGAGTTTTGCGAGGTATGCTCATATGTGTAAACGCCTACTTGCAGCGTGGTGACAGAGCCACCATGATGGCTATCGATTACGATTTGCAGGGGCACGGCAAGGGACGGGGATCCCGTGGCGAGGAACGGGGGAGTGTCAACGGAGAGAGCATACTGAAAGGACGATCCCTGCAAGCCGAGGAAATGTGGGAGACATTCACACTTCTTCGACCCGAAGACAAGGTAGAGAGTGGCATATGGAGATGAGTGAAGATCATGTGGGCACTGAATTTGCACAAATACGCGTGTCCCTTCTGATCCTCTCTGAGGATTATATGAGATGACCTCCGGCAGCTGACGGGATTCTCCACCGAGCATTGGAGATCGGCTCTCCTCGTAAGAGCTAGCATACTCCTGATTGGGCAAGTATGGGCCACAATCAGAAATTTGGCTGGCTTGATCCGCCATCGGGGATGGGACGAGCGAGGTAGCGGTCACATAAGGAGTCTGGCCATAGGTAGAATAAGAGGCACCGTTATGCAGAGATCGCGCAGACTCGTAATCTGAGAAAGTCAGCCGGTCAGTCTGTCTCTGTTTGCCAATGTAGCAGCAGTGCTCAAAGAAGAAAGTGAGAACACAAACTTACCTAGCAAGGTCGCTGTCGGGGGTTTCTGAAAAGTCGACATAGACAGCAAGGGCTCAGACTTGGCCAGGAGGCCGTCTGAAAACGCGCCGGCAAATCGTGACTCTTCAGGATCCGAGAAGTCCAGCGACTCGTCTAGAATGAGAGGTGTTTGGAAGTCGGGGTCGAACTGCGAAGGCGAAGAGGTAAGCAAAAGAAAGAGGGAAAAGAGCACACAACCCGAAGGAGTTTCGCGGCGAGACAAGGATTGAGTCAACATTGAGAAACGGACGGGATCAAAAAGGAGGAAAGAGAAGAGAGCAGTGGTAGTTGGGCAGCAATGAGAGAAACAGAAGTTTGGGACTTTGACTTACCAGAATACCGTGTGTCTTCGAGTAAGCCAGTTTGAAAATGTTGCAGCAACTGCAACGGAACACAACGGCCTAAAGAAGCGAATGACAGGCAATTTATCCTGAGAAACGATACGATGTCGGAAAGGCACCACAGGGAGCTCTCCGAGACAAAACGAGTGACGGTACGAAGTGGCTGTTAGTCTCCAGAAGAAGAGGCGTAACAACACAGCTTCGAATCAACGACCAGTATTCAACACGGAAGGCTGAAACCAGCAAAGGTTGGCAGCAGGATAGGCGTCAAAGACAGGCCACACTACTGAGAAAACTAGTCCGAAACACCCTATGAAAGCAACGGGTGCATTTGCAGACGAGATATTGACTCTCCAAGTATGGTCGATCCCGACGGAACAATAGTGGGATATCCGTCAGACGGTCTCACGATGGCAAGCTCGTCAAACAGAACAGATATTGAGGAGGCGTTTTTCGTTTCTTTTTTTCGCTTGTCTATCTCTCTCTAAGCGAACGAAGTCTCAGGATTTCCTGGAATCGCTGACCATAGAGGGGATTAGGTTGCAGGCGGGCCACGAACTACTCAACTGGTGAGCACGAACCTCGCAAAGCAAAGAGGACCGGCTTTCTGCATAGACTAGTAAGACTTACCGAGTGAGATAAAGAACAACAGAAGATCTAACCAGGTCACACCTGAGGCAACTTGACAGCTAATATGCAAAATCTAAGGTCCACCGAAACGACTGACGAAATGACCTACACCATAACAATGTCAACAACAAACACACAAGGTTCACGGGGAAATTATGACAAGCGCATGCTGAGTTAACACGACTCCTAATTTTCCTAATGGCCTGGTGCACCAGAGGCACGACCTGGATGAAGCAAGGAGTGGAGGAAGGCAAAAGGGGACACGAAAGGGGACTGATTTTGATGCAAGGCACCGGCAGCGCAGTGGCGAAGGAGAGGAGGGGATGCTAACCTTGTCAAATTAACGAGTTCCAAGAGACTCTCTCGCTTCCCAAAAGGGGCCCAGGTTTAAGATAATCTCTGCTCTTTCGGAAAGAAGTGGTGCTTTCAACCGAGACACCTGTCCAAGACGAGTAGGGTCCAGAATCACCACCTCCTCCTGAACGACGTTGCTGCGGGCAGGAAATTGGGACAAGCTGAGTCCCACTTTGATATTGATTTCAAGGCGCAGATGAAGCCGAAAGGGATAAGATTGCTGGAAAGGAGATCAAGTCCAAAAGAGTAACCAGACGATCTCTAGGCAAACGGCTTTGCGGGGGGAGTCGTTTCTACAGTCAACTGCGAATCGAAACCGAACAAACGCACGGGACTGGTAGGTAGTTCAAGCGGAAGAGATGGTAAATAATGGTCCGTCAATATTGATTTGGTCCTCCCTTGAATTTCCCTAGAAAGTGCAATAAAGTCGATTCGGGCCCAGATTGAGGTGAAGGTGGTCGACACAATCAACGAGGGCGTGATATGCGATTAACTATTATAGGGTATATTGAATATTGAATAAATCGATCCACCGTTGTCGTTTTCTTTTGTCTCTCTCTCCAGCCGACAAATATAGCGAACGTAATAATGACCTTGCGCAAAATAACAAGCGAGTGTGATGGCGAACGTGTGATGAGCGAATGTAATAAAGCGAAAGTAAGAAGAATCGAAATTCCTCAAGCTGCCATCTCAAGAAGATCCGGAGGGGGAGGGGGGGGGGGAAGTAAGATAGATGTATGGAGGAAGAGGTAAGAGAGGTAGAAGTCGGAGTACGAGATGACGAGAGATATAAGATTACTGCTTTCTCTTGATTTTCTTACCCCCTTCCTTTTTTAAGCCCGAGGCTGTGGTGGTAAGAAGCGTAGTAGGTACACTAGACTGGCCTGAATGATGGGATGGTGACTTCTGAGTACTTGCTAGGGCAGTGTGGCGGGGGATGCACAACGCACCGGTGTCAAGGAACTTATCTAAACGAATAGACTAGTAGATAGATATGGAGTAGCTTTTTTATCTAGTCTTCATCACTAGATCTTTTTTAGTCCTAAGGCCCTGAAAAGTACGGTTTGCTGGTGGTGCTGGAAGTGGGTGGATGCCCTACTAGGTACCTATTTAGCACTCGAAGTAGTAAGTGGTTTCTTTAGCAAGGTACCTTAAGTTAGTACCTACCTAGCAGTTGTGGTACAAGGGTCCTGAATACTACGGTACGGACCACGAATTTCTTCCCCAGCAGCATGATACTTTTCCTTTTTTTCCCCTTATTTGTTTTTCTTTTTTACGCGAGGCGACAAAGTTAACTCGTGTGAGCATGATATCCGCCCCAGTCTATTCTATTACCCAATCACAATAATTATACGGAGCGTATTCCGAAGACAGCCTAACTTAATGGCTGGTTGGCCGAAAGAGCTTTTGTGCTGTTCATCGAATCCCTGGACTGGGTATGGAGTCCACAGCTCCAGCCGAACAGAGCCGTTAATGCTTCCACTCAATGATAGGTAAGAACCGATTCTAATAATAATAAGGTAATGGTGGTAATAATCAATACGATGATAATAATAACATCTTCTCCCTTTACCACCATTAAACCCCATAGTGTCCGCTGATTCGGAGAGCCATACAGAAACAGAATGGGAGACCCGGGTTTCCTCCTTCCGTTCCTATCCAGTGTCAATTTTTCCTTGTTTTAGTACTCTATTAAAGAACTCCAGAGAAGAAAAAAGTGGAGGTGTTCTTTCTGGAACGAGTTAGCTTGGAGCCGTTAGGCAAAAAGATATTGGAAACAGTATTAATATTAATATATGCAGTATAGGTCAGAAGTTACCACATAGAATGTTGCGAAAAAAGGCGAGCAGAGAGTTATAACACAATAATGATGAACCATTAGACTAGAAGACGGAGTACTGGGTTGAGTACTTCATCTGTCTGCAGCTTGTACATATGCTGGGATGGATGATTACAGGCCTGTTACTTTCAACTCACATCTATTTGTGACATGCAGGCGTGAGAGGATGAAGTAGCCGCTGAGTAATGAGTCCTGGCAAAGGAAAATGGTACAGCTTTGGGCCCTTGGGAAAAGCCACCGTTCAATCGGTCCACGCCGCCGCCTGGTAAGGAGTGGATCCGCCGAGGACGTATGGGGTCGATTCGAGAAGGCTACAGAAGGACGGTGGAGGAACGCGTGGTTGGTGTCAGGACTGTAGGATTACGGTACTCTATACCTACTTGATACCTGGCACTTGCTCCTTCAATTAAGTCAACATAAATTCTAACCATAGCAAGATGGCTACCGTAAGGAGCCCAAGAGACGTTAAGTAACAGGGATACGGATACTGCTGGATAAATCGATGATGCTGGTGGAGTTTGTTTTGCGGGTTCTTTTTGTTCTCTGCCGTTACCGCCCGAGGTTTTAGGAGGGTAGAGCTAGTATCCACCGATACAGTAGGATATACAACCTAACAAGAAAAAGTAAAAAATAGGTCTGCCTGAATGGCCAGGACCTTTTAGGAAAGGACAACTCCGTAGCTAGTACGACTAGGTGGTTCCCACTAAGGACCTAACTAAGGTAGAGTAAGGTAGTATCCGGTGACTGCACCGCCTCTTCTTTGCTTTCCCAACTATTTCCAATGATTTCTCGTCTCGACCTCTTCTTTCGGCCTCGTGGTCGAAGAATAGCCAATTCGTCTGCACGTTGTTTGATCCAATAACATCAACACTCTGGGGATCTTTACCGAAGTCCTTGGTCAAACTAACTCGATTTCCATATTCCGGTCTCCAGGTAGGGTAAACTTCATTTGTAAACCAATTCTCCCGAACCATGACTTCAATTGAGCACCCAAAGCCCGCAGCGTATTATTAGGCTATTATTACTTCACTGGCATCGGTTGTATGGACCGTATGTGAAAGGGTCTCCACCTCTGGACTCTTGCCAATATCAAGAATTGATATCACCACTCAGTTGGAACCCTTCTTTTCAGTGATTTCTTATTTTGGACCCCTCAAACAGGACTCCGGATGCTGTCTTTGCCTATTTGGGCATCTTCCGTACTTAGACTGCTTGAGATAAAAAAGCGCATGGCTGACAGATGTGGACTAACGCGATTCATGGATGGACTTGACAAATCATTTTCTGTGTTTCCTGGCAACCTGATACACACTCTTCCTACTAAGCAAGCCCTAGGGTCTTGACCAGTTTGGATGGAGCAACGGTCGTGCCGTTCTACACTTCCACGGAATGGAGATCTGATTTTTCGACAGACAGCAATCTTGACATCATTGTATGAGGATATCCGCCCCACTAGACATCTGCACCATGAATAAAATATTCTAAGGTTGGATTCAAAGAAACAAAAAAGACATCAAAAACTCGAACTCATGACAGCAGCGACATTACTCCGTACACTATTGCTCTCCGCAGGCAAGATACCCGTCCTAACGGCGTTGTTGTCATGGGATCTGGCAAGCGAGCGCCTTCTTGTGACCTAATAATATCTTCCCACTGAGGGCTGGTTTCTACCAAAGTTTATTTATCCTTCGCCAAAGTCGGCCCATGCCATGAGGTTTCAACACGAGAGTGCAGTGCCAGGACCACAGTCAGGATGATGGCTCACATGACTCATATTTGGGTTGTTCTGCACATGCAAAGGTGGTCAGTTTCTTCCTTCTCATCAGTTGGCTCCCTGCATCCTGTGCGTGGAAAGCAGCCGTGTAATAGCAGTCAATTTGGGACAACTGCACACAGGGATAGGCTTATGCGATCATAGCACGCAAGGTGGCCCGGGTAAAAAGACTTGAAGAGGTTACTACTAACTCTGAGAGACTGCAATATTTACCGCTGTCGCAGTACCTCTCTACATCATAGTCTACCTAGATACTTAGCGGTCACCACTCAGCCCAATGGTCATGGTCATACTTCTGT